TCATAACAATTTTCTTTTCCTTTTTTTCTTATTTTCTTTTCTTCTTTTCTCTCTCTCTCTCCCTCTTTTTCGGGTTTTGCAATTTTCCAAAAAAAAAAAAAAAAATTCATTTTCAAGAAAAGGTGTTAAACTTTTATACCATTTTCATTCTTATTTGAATCATCGAATGACTTTTCCATTTTCATTTTCTGAATTCTTTATCCTTTTCATTCCTATTATTACCTTTTCTCTCTCTCTCTCTTTCGTAATCTTATAATAATAATATAAATTTATTATTTTTGACGAGGGTTAATATAAAATTTGGTTTTCCTTGGAAAAAAATTCAACGTAAAAAAAAAAATCTAGTTCAATTTTATTTTTGTCATTTTTACATAAAACTAAAATTTTTATTTTCGCATAAACGGGAAAACTCATATTATTATTATTATTATTTGTTTTCATCTAATGCCACGAAAAATTTTCAAATATTGAAATCGAATATTTTTTTTGATACGATTATCTAAACGTACGTAAACAATTTTTTTTTTTTTAATAATTTGTTTATACTTTTCGTATAAAAAAGAAAAAATAAAAGGAAAACAAACCTTTTAGATTTTCCTTTTTTTTTAATAAAAAAAAAATCGTAAAAAGGATAAAAAAAAAAAGGAAGGAAAGAAGGAAAAAAAAAGAAAATTTAATGAAAATATTTTTGACGCTCATCAAACGTATCCAATTAAATGCTTGGAAAATTAAAAAAAAATTTTTTTTTTTTATCATGTTTTTCATATTCAAAGGAAAATTATTAATAATCAGTGACGTAATAAGAAATTTAAAAATAAAAAAACGGAAAAATAAACGGAGAAAACACAATAAAAATCTTGTTTTTCTTTTTTTTTTCTTTCTCTCTCTCCCCAGGAAAAAATAAAAAAAAAAGGAAATATTAAATTATGAAAACGTCGCTTTTGAAACTTTGCGAATAATATTAATAATAATAATAATAATAAGGATGATGATGATGATGATGATGATAATGATAATAATAATAATTTTTTTCCCTGATTTCAATTTAAAAAAAAAAAAGATGAAAAAGGATATTTTTAAAAATATATTTTTTTTTATCCGATAGATATTTTTAAATTAAAAAAAAAAAGTAAAAATAAAACAAAAAAAAAAAAAAATGAAAAAAAAGCAGACGACATGATGGAAACGTTTTTTTGGATTAATAAAAAAAAAAAAAAAAAATATGGAAAAATTTTCTCTCTTTCCACAAATAATTTTATCTTTGATTTTTTTTTTTTTTTTCAATTTTGATTCCAAAAAAAAAATAATAATAATAATAAAAATAAATTCGTTCCTTCACTTTATAATTTATCATCATCATCATCATCATTTTTTTTTCCGACGAAATCAAGCAGAACATAATTTATATTTATTTATAAAAAAAAAAAGAAAAAGAAAATTCAAAAGGAAATTTATTAATTTTTTTTTTGTTTATTATCACTAAGGTAATAATTATTACCCGCCCCCCCTCTTTTCTCCTTATCGTTAGGGAGAATTTTTTTAACCGAAAATTACGCATTTATTACCACGTATTATTATTATTATCATCTCATTCAAACACTTGTTGTTATCATTTCAAAGATTTTATTTTATTTTTTCTCGTAAACCGGAAATCGTCGTTATTTTTTCCTTTAGACTCTTCAACATTCCTTTTTTTTATCTTCTTTAGATTCTTATGATGAGATTTTACGAAATAATAATAATAATAATAATAATAATAATAATGATAATAATAATATTTAATACATTTTTAACATTAAAATAAAATAATAATAATAATAATAATAATAAGAGTATTCGAATTGATGATTATAATATTTTTTTAAAAACTAAAGGGAATTTTTTTTAGTAATTCGTTTCGTTTCCGGTTTATTATATGAAAATCGTAGTAATTATTAGGTGGTAAAAAAATAATAATTCGAAATATGAGTTTATAATGAAAAAGAAGTAAATTAAATGTCGGAAAGTGTGAATTAAATGAAATTTTAAAAAATTAAATTAAAAAGCGTTATAGTATGTTAAAAACGTTAAATTTTTACCACGCGTATTCATTCATTC